CATCACCTTCCTTTCTTCCAACAGCGCCACCTTTCCGCCGCTTTTGGACCATTGTCCTGGCGTCTTGGAAGCAGACCAAAGTTCAACCATATGCTGCACGTATCAGCTTCATGCGCGAGGGAGTGGGAATGGACGCCACACGATGAATGGAAAACACGTCATCTTCCACTATTGTGCGCTCCTGTGACTGGGGGTGTGGCGTCGAGCGTCCTGGGTCTTTCTTGCTGGCGCGTCCAATCGCGTTCAATCACAATCCATTCACCCATCGCTCGGAAATCAGACCCCACCAGCCAGAAAAGGAAAAACGAGGCACTCGCGCAGAACGAGGAGTTTAGGAAGTATAGAGAGGCCTGCTGTTTCTATTTCCATCCCTTCTCCATGGCCAATCTTACAGGTGTAGCCTTCCATCAAGTTCCATGCAAGTTTTCTCCCCGTCCCTGCAGTCCATTCAACTCCAGCAGACACCATCAACGTCAGCGTAGACGCAGGAGACGACATTCCCGTCACTACTTCTTGCCAACATCTCCGTGCGCAATAATCCACTGCCACCAAAGCCACTTCCAGGCACTCGCATCTCCCTACGCCTTTCTCCGTTCCCTAGTCCGAGAGCTCACTTTGTGCGATTAACCTCGCTGTGATTGGGTTCTCAATGCCACTGCAGAGGAGGGCAACTTTCGCCAAAAGAGCTTGCTCGCAAAAGTCCATCCTGGTAGGGCCCTGAAAAGCGAGACAATAGTTGTCCAGAAAGGTATGGTGGACTCGTAGGACGGATTGGTGGGTAGCAAAGACGGAGAGCTTGGAGCCGTGAAGCTCTAAGATGCTTTCCAGGGTCCTTAAGTGACCGAGTCTATGCTGTTCACCCTGCTGATTCGTCCATCCTTCAGAGAGTCTCTAGAGAACCAGGAGTGACGTACCGCGGGCAGAATGATGCACACTGTGCCACTCAAGACGGTGTAGAGCACCCTAGCCGATCACCTGACTTGGAGGTGGTGCTTTTGGATCAATCTGCCGTTGGGCGCCTTGGCGATGATGACGGTTTGGCTGTTTCTCAAGTTTCCGGCGGCGGAGGGCAAGTGGAGAGAGAAGCTGGGCCGGGTGGATTGGCTGGGATCTCTGTTGTTGATGGCCGGCGTGTCGTGCCTTATCACGCCAGTCCAACTCGGCGGCTCCACGTGGGACTGGTCCGCACCGCAAACCATCGCTCTGCTCATTCTGTCGGCACTGCTGCTGATCGCCTTTGAGTTGGTCGAGGTCTACGTCGCCAAGGAACCCATCATCCCGCCTTCGCTGTTCACGAACCGCCCCGCCGCCGCATTCATCAGCATGGCCTTCTGCGTCGGATCAACCTACTTCCCGTCATCGGCCCCGTACTCATGATAGTCGGGATCTCGCTGATCTCAACCCTTTCCGAAACTTCGTCTATGGTCCAGCATATTTTCTACCTCCTGATGGCGGGAGTCGGGTGCGGATGTGCCATCCAGATCCGACTTTCGGGGCTCCTGGTCTCCGTCGACCCGGACCTCGTATCCGTCGCCACGGCCGCTTCTCAGTTTTTCCAGACCCTTGGAGGCACGATCGGCGTCGCGATCACCGGAACCGTCTACAACAACGTGTTTGCGACGAGGCTGACCGAGTCACCCACTTTGTTAAAAGGACTTGATGGTCAGGACCCGACGAAGGTGAACCTTCCGATCCTGAGGGAGATCCTGGTGTCCAAGGGCGAGACTGGGCTTCTTGGGGAGTTGGTGCGGGCGTTTGTGTGGGCTTTTCAGGTGGCGTATCGGGCCATCTTGCCGTTCCCTGTGATGATTTTGTTGTTGGCCTATTTGGTCAAGCGGTATGGTGTTAAGAGAACGGAGTAACAAAGGCTTCGTCAACGTTAACCACAATACACAAAGCTTGAGATACTGAAGCAGTTCTTGATATTGGTGACGGTGAGGGAGCTGAGACGGCAGGTGCTCAGGAGGGAGGAGAACAAGCGGTGACGGGGGCTGAATAATTGTCAAAAAACAAAAAATTCCAAAGAACGTCGAAGTGAATGCGACGCCCCATGGGATTACGCCCCAACACCAAAGATCCAGGAGCGTCCCGCGTCGTAAGGCTGTGATCATACTGCGGTCTAGGATGCTGCGGTCAATGTGGCGCAGAGATCATACAGTCGACAAGCTTCTGGGGCGTGCGGCCCCTCTGAATCGCCCATAAAACGGATCAACAAAGTTCTGGTCCAAATCCCATCGCCTTCTAGCCAACAACTTCAACGCATCTCCTCCACATCAAATGAAAACTAATGGCATCCGAAAGCCATCAACGAACACTGCCCTTACCTGACCCTCGTCCCTCAACAACCACCTCAAAACCCAACCACGTCCCCGCGACCGCCATCGACATCAATGATGAGATCCCTAAGTCTAGCACCTCCATCGACGCAACCGTCCGCGTGCCACTCTCAAGATCCCAGTTCTGGTTCGTGTTCCTCGGGCTGACGCTAAGCATCCTGCTGGCAGCCCTGGACCAGACCATCGTCGCGACGACATTGGAAAAGATCGTCAAGGAGTTTGGCCAGCAGGAACTGATTCCATGGATCGGGTCGGGATACCTCCTCACCGAGACGTCGGCCGCCGCCATGTGAGTGTTCCTTTCGTAAAAGTTTCCCAC